TTGTCTTCAGTTACAAAATATTTTTAAGACACTCGGAGTGACACATTTTTTAGAACTTACTAAACACACTAGACTAATTTTAAAAGTTGTGACCATTAAAAATGCAGTTTTAGCTTCCTAGTTTTTGTTAATATTTTCTTATATGGCTAAAGAATAATTGTTTTTGTATTAAGGGTGGAATTTTACTTTATGTTAACATTTGATTATCTATTGAGAAATTATCTTCACTATAGCTTTTACATTTATTGACAAATTAATTGCTAAATTTTCCTGTGTGGAAGGTATCTAGTTGTTCACTAATCATATTGCTATCCACTCATTAAATGGTATTTTAGAGCCCAGACACTCTGAGAAGTCACCTCTGATTTGTCTGGGTCCTTACATCTATCTGAAGAAAAATCTGTTGTCTTTCTACCGTAGAAAAATGTAGAAAGGAGGTAAGAGCGAATGAGAATGAAGAAATTGAACAGACTTGGGTCTTTATATGGCTTCAGTACTTAGTTTAATCTTATTCCTGAAGTTTTAGGCATACTTTTTATCAAAAGCAAATATATGAAGTTTGACTTCACTTTTCTATCCTTAATATAACATAAACAAGATATTTGAATAAAATCTTATAGAATATGGTAAACATTCCCATGATAGTTATTAGTCATGTTTTCTGCTAAAAACTGTACTGTGTATTTCACTATTTAGTTTTATTGGTAAAAATAACTTTATTACAAAGTTCTCTTCATAATTAATATACATAGTTGCCCAGAAATTTTAAAAGTTTACTTACAAATTGATTTACTTCTCTCAGCTAAAAAATAATGCAATTTTTATCAAAGGCAGCTAAATTACAATTACTGTTTCATAATGCTATCATATTAATTCATAAGGAATTAGGTTATTATACTTTTTAACCATGAACACACTTAAATATGATAGGTAAGTAACACATTCTGATTTTCTAATATTGTCACGCTGGTGAGATAGAATTAGAGACCCCATTGATTAATTCTAAGCATACCTCTCTAATATAGATCAAAAGTGGGTCTCAGATTCACATAAAATGTCCTAAAACTACTCCCACTTATGATATAACTTAAAATTTTGTAATAACACTCCAATTTAAAATCTTAAGGCTGGTGTTCTCCTCTCACTCTGTTCTTGTAACCACAAAATTATTTGTGTATATCTCTGTCTCTCAATAGATTATAAGCCCCTTCAGGCATTGAACCAAGCACAGGCTTTTAAAATAAAACAATGGTTGTGTTGCTCTAGAAAAATAAAATGTAATTCTGAGCCTGAGTTGTTTTTCATCTGTAAGAAGGGTAAATTAATATCTACCTTGCAGGATCTGTGTGAGATTTAAATGAGGGATCACATATAAAGCATCTACCACAATTCTTATTTATTTTCTATCTCTCTCTTCTCCCACAGCTTGTCACTGTACCAATGACAGTATCACAATAAATTTTAAATAAATGTAAAAATTACCATGATTTTGTTTTATGGATTAGTATTAGTATACCTTAGTATTTAGATTTTTTTAAGAGTACAAAGTAATCCATGGCATATAGAAATGTACTAAAATTTTTACATTGTGAAATACTCATAAATATATAAACTTAAAAGACAATTTTCTCATTCATAGATATCTGTATTTTTTAATCTTATATTTTTCATGAATTTTAATTGCTAATACCTAATAAATGGGTGAGTAATTTATTGCTGAATCATGTTCATGTTTTGAAAGTAGTAGTTGAAAGTATAATAAAATTATAGACATTGGGAGATTTTACAGATCATCTAGTTCAATCCTTTCACTTTACAAAGGAGAAAACGAAATTCCAGAAAGAGGCAATGACTTGCACAAAATCCAGTAGCAGACATAAATTTTTTTAAATTAAATCAGAGTACCTATGATTTTCCCTTCCTCCACTTTGTTTTTGAGGTGGAGAGCTAAAGAAGCCAAGAGAAGCCAAAGAAAAAATATGGAAGATGCCCAGTGGGAATATTTGAAAGCACTAAAGGCCACAGAATTTGTCAAAGAGGGCTTAGGACACTAAGAAGTTTAGAGTTAGGGGCCAATATCTTTTCAGCCCTAAGAAGTAAACATCCACATCTGCATTTGTTTGGGAGGCTACAGAGTATATTTGCCTAACTGAGGTACATGAGAAATCATCAGAGAAAAAAGGTGTTTAGGAAGTTAGGAAATAGGTAGTAGTCTAAATTTAAAAAACATAAAATAAGGGTTAATCATCAGTATTTGAGAATGTCCTATTTTAACTTTTCTTCACAGTTAAGAGCTTGTTTTTATTTTTTGTTTTGTAGAAGCTTTCTAATATTTTTGATGAAGAAGACTGGGAAAGAACTAGGACTTTAAACTTTAATAGCCATAAAATTTCAGCCTTCTGTATTCAAAATGGAAAAAAACAAAACCCAAAAGTATATAAAAATAAAATAAAAACAAAAAATATAATTTCTCTTTCTGCTTTATTTGGGAAAAGGAAGAGGAATTGTAAAGCAGGGTATCAACCACTCACCATCGGATTGATAAATGTTAAACTAAATTTCCTTTCATCTTTAAAATTCTTCCTGACATCTAACATATGTTTTTCATTTCTTGTAAGGGCCAGTTGAGCCTAAAGGTCCAAAGTAATATAATTAGCAGACAATTTGAAGAAGCTGATATGGTTTATATCAACTTTTAAAGTAGTGAAAATATACAAAATAAGTACTGGCACGATTATTAAAACACAGAAAAGGAACACAACATTAACTGCATATATTTGGTAGAAACAAACACACTGCATTTATTAAAAAGTCTAAATAAAATATTTAGTCTTGATTCAGATTTAACTTTCTTCATCTCTGTCCCATGCATACTGGAAAGCTGTTCAAGCAATATCATGTAATCAGAAAATGTTAGTAACCTCAAAACCTTGTATGTCGTTCACACACAGAGTGAAAAGACGTAAGGTGCAGCTCTCTAACATAAAACCAATATATTTCAGTCTTCCCTCAGACCCTGAAATCTTTATCAGAAAAAACGTAAAACCAAAAGTTATATGAGGATGGGGCTGCATCTGTTTCTACTGAAATTCTCCTGAATCTTCAACATCCAGTTTATGTCTGCACACAACTGGTTCTCATTGCTCATTTGCTTACAGATTGACTGAATGAAGTACAGAGTTTCCTGAATACTGAATACTTCAAACTGCTTGTAATTTTATGTTTTCCCATATTAATCTATAGGATTAGCCTGGCTGCTCTAATGTTTGCAAATTGGAAATATTTTTGGTTCATTATTTAAAAGAGATAATGCAATACCTTTGAATTCTATGAAGCCAGCAGTTTATGAGCTAATGAATAAATTCAGATGATAAACACAAATCACTAAGAGTTTAGTACACATTGGGTTTTTATATGTATTGTCTGAAGACATAAGGGCATAAAACCATAAAGGCATTTTCAAGTACCAACAGATCAGGCCAATTGTGGAGAGAATAAAAACCCAATGATAAATATACAAACAAAATAATTCCACTATTAACTGTACAATGCTTATTTTCAAACAAGAAACTTGAAAACTCCCTCCTATCAAACCATCAGTTTCCTGAAGGCTTGGATTGTGCCTGTCTTGGTATCCTCATTGTCTAAAACTTTCTGCTCTCAGGACGTCTTCACACTTTTAAAAGTTCTTGAGGACCTCAAAAGCTTTTGTTTATGTGTACTATATCATATTCAAAAATTAAGGGGCGCCTGGGTGGCTCAGTCGTTAAGCGTCTGCCTTTGGCTCAGGTCATGATCCCAGGATCATGAACCCAGGGTCCTGGGATCGAGCCCCGCATCAGGCTCCCTGCTCTGTGGGAAGCCTGCTCCTCCCTCTCTCACTGTGTCTCTCTCTCTGTCAAATAAATAAATAAAATCTTAAAAAAAAAATTAAAACCTGAAAATTTTTATATCTTTATTAATTCATTTAAAAGTAATAATAAACCCAGTATATGATAACACGGATGTCATATTCTTTATGAAAGATCATTATATTTCCCAAAAACTCTTGTGAGAGCAATCTTTTACACTTCTGCATATCTGTTTCATGGCTGGCTTGAATGAAAAGAGTTGGATTCTCATAAGCCCCTGCATTCCATCAGATCTGACATGTTATTTTAATTGCATTATATGAAATATATTCCACACAGGTATGGAATTGAAGAAGGGATGAGCTTACGGATAACCCCAGAGGTCCTCATTTCACACTGTGAAACCAATGACCTGTAACATCATTTGTCATATGGCTACTGTTTAATAACTACTCGCTAAAAGTTAATAAAAAGTTTACAGAAAAAGAAATATATTCTAAGGGCACACATGCATATATCCAAACATACAAATGATATGCACATTCATTTTGGATTCAATTGATAAATTATTCTTTTAAATGCTGTTTTACTACAATAAAGTGTTAATTATCCCAAGTCCTCAACTCATTACAACTAAATTGGGATGCAGATCAAAGGAGGGTATGTGAATGAAAGAGTGAAAAACTCTAACAATAAAGCATGTAATTCCAAAATTTAATAGAAAGAAATAGATGACTAGAATGAGACTTCTCACTTGAGAAAATTCCAAGCATAACCAAATCAAGTAGCTAATTCAAATGCTATATGGGTCTGTTTAAAGCAGTAAATTAGATTGAAACACTTTACTGAAAACAAGCTGGATTCTAATATTTTTAGTATCTACACGCCATTTCTAATTAATCTATAAAAACCACAAGAAAAAAACATTTTGCTTATATTTTTAGCACTTCTGCTTTAAATATTAATAGGAACTAACCAAATACCAGAGAAAATATATTGATTTTAACATTTTACACTTTCCAAAATCACAATTCTTGTTCTTTAAAAATAGCCTTAAGCAAACTCAGAAATGAAAATATAATTTTTGAGATCAGATATTAGATTTTTCAAATGATATTTCATCATTTGGCAAAAAATAAAATGACTTACTTCTTTTCTTGAGGCCCATGTACCTGAGAAGCCATTTTAGGTTCTGTCCCAAGATTCTTTTGCATCCGCTGCCTCCTCTTTCTGCTTGGTGCAATATCCGTGACATCAGGACTTGAAATAATGGAATCATCTCCTCTTAAAGTAGCTAAAATAAAATGACATAAAAGTGTAACCCAACAAAATTATGCATATAATTTGTAAGAACTTGCTGCACTGATATGAAGTGACACTTAAAATACAGTATAACTATTTTTAAAAAATTCATGAAGATTTGGTAAAGTGGACCAGTTAGATTATAATACTTTAATACCAATATAAAACATAAAGTATATTATACACATGGAATAATTTGATCAAAATGGTCTCTGCCTATCTTGCACAACAACCCTCCCAAATACATCAAAGGCACAGTTTGATCTTTCAACGCTAGAATTAGACAGAAATGCCTTAGAGGCTACTCTATAAGATGTTTTCTTTGGGGGGGGGCAAATACTGCTATAGGAATAGGATAAATCAAGTTGATACTAAACAGTAATTATTAACAGGAATGGAGACTTCTGCTAGTGATCCAGAGATAATTTCATAGACTTTTCAGCCAACTGTAGGGAATGAGAACAGGAAAAATGTCTAACAGATGTCTCTATTGTATCTAAGTCACATTAAACTACCACTAAAAGTGTTAGATATACATGAAACAGAAGCAACAAGAGAAACATGTTTGATTTATATTCCTTTATTCTCTATAAACAACTTAGGTCCAAAGAGCTTTAGGGGAGTTCAGAATTCATTCATCTAATACATAGTATACTTAAGTAAATACATATTTATATAAAAGAGCTCCTTTGCCATTGGTAAATAATGAACAATATCAATATAGTTTGGACTTTGGATGTCTTGCTGGTTCATATGATTTTTGTCTAGCATGTTAACATTTTAAGGCACAAGCTTTCATCCCAATTAAAGAGAAGGCCTTCACAATGTATAAAGTCCTAAAAAGATGGAGATGAGTGGCAAAAATCCTGGACAAGCCAATTCCTGTACCACAAAGAGGGGTTGGCTGAGTGGAGTCAAGAACCCTAGACTTTTCAACAGTTAAGCTTTCTGTTACAGAAAGAAGCTGTGAAGATGTCTCCCTGTAGCTTGAATCAGATGTTTAATTTTCATCAAACTATTAGAATGCATTCAGTAACTGCCATCTACTCCATTTGAGAGGAAATGGGATGCAAATGTTTAGTGGGCTGTGATGCTGAGTGCAAATGTTGCTAGAGAGTTAATGGGGTTAATACTTTCATTAGGATTATAACTAGGGAACTAACAACAACAATGTAAAACTGCACAGATTTTGAGTGGTCTGCCTAAACCTTAATTTTTTTCCCCATAGGCTCTACTATTTTTAGTGTGCAATTCTGCAGAATGAGTGGTTTTTCAGGCACATATATATCACATCCTAGAAGAAAAGCTGGTATTTTGAATTCCCACTTGCTGCAGCCCATGCTTCTCTGAGTGACCGGAGATCACTTGGACACTGTTGACCACTCTCTTGAAAGTCTTCTTTGGGTGTTTTTTTTTTTTTTTCATTGAAATGGCTACCATTTTTGAGAACATACGTGGTAGACAGTTTGCTATGGGTTTTAAACATATTATTTTATTAATCTTTAACCTTGTGAAGTACTTACTATTATTACCTTTACTTATGAAGAAGCCAAGGCTTTAGAAAGGTTAAGTAACTTGACCAAATCACACAGACTTTGAGTTGATATTTTAACATATGACAATTAAAAAATATTTCTCCCTAGTAGATAAAGTATTCCTTCATCAAATATTTACTGATTAAAGGATATTTTACTTTCCAAAGCTATTTAAGTCATTAGGGCCCATAAGTTCTACTACATTTCGCATACATTATTTTACTAGCTAGTACTATTCTAGGAATAGAGAAGGGTAGATAACAAAGGGTGTTTCAAAAAGTTCTGCCATTCATTTCAAAACTCCAAATAATGACTTAACACACTGGCACCCAAAAGCATGTTTTATATGTAATATGGTTATACTATTTGTTATGCGTATAATTTGTAACTAATTTACTTTAAAATACAATGCAATTAAATGTATGTTGTTAGGGTGAGCTATAACCCAGGTGTTGCTAGCACCTACCCAAAAATGCATAGCCCATTGAGTTGAAGGTCCATTTCTGGGTCCCTATTCTGTTCCATTGATCTATGTGTTTTTGTGTCAGTACCATACTGTCTTGATGATTACAGCTTTAAGTCCAGAATTGTGATACCTCCAGCTTTGGTTTTCTTTTTCAACATTCCTTTGGCTATTCAGGGTCTTTTCTAGTTCCATACAAATTTTAGTATTGTTTGTTCTAGCTCTGTGAAAAATACTAATAGTATTTTGATAGGGATTGCACTGAATGTGTAGATTGCTCTGGATAGCATAGACATTTTTTTTTTATTATGTTCACTTAGCAGAGATTTTAACAATATTTGTCCTTCCAATCTATGAGCATGGAATGTTTTTCCATTTCTTTGCGTCTTAAGTTACTTTCATAAATGTTCTATAGTTTTCAGAGATCTTTTCCTCTTTGATTAGGTTTATTTCTAGGTATCTTATAGTCTTTGGCATAATTATAAATGGGATCAATCCCTTGATTTCTCCTTCTTCTGCTTCATTGTTAGTCTATAGAAATGCAACTGACTTCTGTACGTTGATTTTTATATCCTATGACTTTGATGAATTCCTATTATCAGTTCTAGCAATTTTTTGGTGGAGTCTTTTGGGTTTTCTATATAGAGTATCATGTCATCTGTGAAGACTGAAAGTTTGACTTGTTCTTTGCCAATTTGGATGTCTTTTATTTCTTTTTGTCATCTGATTGCTAGGCTAGGACTTCCAGTATTATGTTGAACAACAGTGGTGAGAGTGAACATCCCTGTCGTGTTCCTGACCTTAGGAGAAAAGATCTCAGTTTTTCTCCATTGAGGATGATATTTGCTGTGGGTCTTTCCTATGTGGCTTTTATGATGTTGAGGTATGTTCCCTTCATCCCTACACGGTAGAGGGTTTTTATCAAGAAAGGATGCTGCATTTTGTCAAGTGCTTATATTCAACTAATCTTAGACAAAGCAGTAAAGAATGCCCAGTGGAAAAAAGTCTCTTCAATAAATGGTGTTGGGAAAATTGGACAGACACATGCAGAAGAATGAAACTGGACTATTTTCTTACACCATACACAACAATAAACTCAAAATGGATGAAAGACCTAAATGTGAGAAAAGAATCCATCAAAATTCTAGAGGAAAACACAGGCAGCAACCTCTTTGACCTCGGCCACAGCAACTTCTCGCTAGACACATCTCCAAAGGCGAGGGAAACAAAAGCAAAAATGAACTATTGGGACTTCCTCAAGATAAAAACTTTTTTCATAGCAAAGGAAACAGTCAACAAAATCAAAAGACAACCCTACAGAATAGGAGAAGATATTTGCAAATGTCTTATCAGATAAAGGGCTAGTATCCAAAATCCATAAAGAACTTATCAAACTCAACACCCAAAGAACAAATAATCCAGTCAAGAGATGGGCAGAAGACATGAACAGATATTTCTCCAAAGAAAATATACAAATGGCCAACAGACACATGAAAATTTTAATCAACATCACTCGGCATCAGGGAAATACATATCAAAACCACAATGAGATACCACCTCACACCAGTCAGAATGGCTAAAATTAACAACACAGGAAACAACAGATGTTGGCAAGGATGCGAAGAAAGGGGAACCCTCTTAACTGTTAGTGGGAATGCAAACTGGTGCAGCCAGTCTGGAAAACAGTATGGAGTTTCCTCAAAAAATTAAAAATAGAACTACTCTATGATCCAGCAATTGCACTACTAGGTATTTATTCAAAGGATACAAAAATCGTAATTTGAAGGGGCACATGCACTGTTTATAGCAATGTTTATAGCAGCAATGTTTATAGCAGCAATGTCCATAATAGCCAAGATATGGAAAGAGCCCAGATGTCCATCAAGCGATGAATGGATAAAGAAAATGTACACACACACACACACACACACACACACAAAGGAATATTACTCAGCCATCAAAAAAACTGAAATCTTGCCATTTGCAACAATATGGATGGAACTAGAGGGTATTATGCTAAGTGAAATAAGTCAGAGAAAGACAATTATCATATGATCTCACTCATATGTGGAATTTAAGAAACAAAACAGATGAGCATAGAGCAAAGGAAGGAAAAATAAAATTAGATGAAAACAGAGAGGAAGGTAAACCATAAGAGATTCTTTAACTCTAGGAAACAATCTGAGGGTTGCTGGAGGGGAGATGGATAGGGAATGGGTTAACTGGGTGATGGGCATGAAGGAGGGCACTTAATGTAATGGGCACTGGGTGTTATATGCAACTGATGAATCACAAAATTCTATCCCTGAAACTAATAATACACTATATGTTAACTAAATTGAACTTAATTAAAAAAAAATGCACAGCCTAGGAGCAGATTGTTGAGATTCTAAAAATAAAGCCCATATCTTGAGGGGCCTACTATAAGTACTTTTGATATTTGTATATCAATGAATAATAGATAATTTATTAATTAATATAGTGAATGACAAAAATGTGTGTCTCTTAGTAAACACAGGCATGAAAACAAGCATGATGAATATTGCATATGGGCTGTCATGAGTGGAAATTAAATGCATTCCAGATATACGAATTGACTACAGTATTTTAGAGATACTCTCCACCATTTTACAAACAGGCTATAATCCACTGAGGTCTGTTTAATCTTGGAGACGATAACCTGTGCTAAATTTTTAAGTGGTTTGGGGTCCAGTTGTGAACTCTGGACAATTGGTGGCCTGATGTCAGGAAAAAGCATCACTTCTGCCTCAGGAATCTTTTTATTTGCCAAAAGTGAACTTTTAATATGAGAGTGTGACTGAGACATCTAAAAAGACAGACAGCTGGAATTTCTTCAAGTTTATAGAACAGGTTTATGAATTCTTTTGTGCTTACTTGTTAGTAAATATTAAGTTGATAATTGTGTGTGTGGGAAAACCTAATCTGGTAATTTGTTATTATTATCCTCATACTTCAAACTTCTTGGTAGCCACC